ATTGTCAGCAAATTCAGTACTTAGGATAAGATGAGTGACAAAGGGAACGTTGTGTTTGATAATATTGAAGTGAACAGGGATGATCACAAACCCTGCGCGTACTCCACCGTGAGTTACAAGAAAATTCCGGACTGGACGATGAGCAAACGCCAACCTGCTACATCCAACCAGGCAGATACTATTACGATAGCTACCAAACCAGGTCAATGCCGACCTACTGCATAATGTCAATGTCAAACAGATCCTGCAGGAGAAGACTAGGGTGTTGGCGTCCAGTCACTGAGTGTACAGACACCAGTCACATTTCCTGTGTCTTTTGCAGCATACAGGCTGAGACTCATCACTGTAGAGCCCACTACTGCATGAGTTATATTTGTACAATACATGGCAGGCGTACACGGTGTGCCTCGCAGGACTGCGAGGTGCTGCAGAAGACCAGGTTCGACCTTTCTGGACGGCCATTCACCGACGGTGGGCTACACGATGCTGGAGGAACTAGATTCCAGTGAAACCCAAGATTCCTTTGCTCCTGGACGCTCCGACGTGTTGTGATATCTGCCAGGTGCGCAGTAACTAGTATTTTCATCGCTACAGCGAGGACGACGCCGATCGGCAAACTCTCGCTCACAGCCATCACCAGCCTCTCAAAACCATCACTTGGCATCCCCCAGAGGTACAGGAGAAAGCCAAAACAGCTCACAACAAACAAAAGCTAAGCTTAAGGACGATGGAAAGAGAGCATGTCAAAAAGAAGACGAACAGTATGAAGTTCAAATGGTTTTGAACACTCGTACCACCAACTATACCACTTTCAATAAATCGTGACGCCATTTTGTTTTAACATGAATATCGCGGATTACTGCGGCTGAAAAAGTTAGCGAACAACATGCTGATGTTAGAGGATCAGGAGTCATGGAGACAACGCCAGATAAAAACCAGAAGGTGCATGTTGGCGTATGTATGCGTATGTACTTGACCTCTTGAAGGTGGTGCAGGGCAGAAAAGTAGTCGACAAGTGCCCCAAACACCACTTTCAAAATTATGTACTTTGAAATAGGAAATGACAGTTTTCGTACAGTCTGACACAAAGAGACAAACTTAGTGGCTTTTGTGGAGGAGCACAATACAACGGAACTAAAGATGTTGACACAGACTTGAGCATGTCAACGACATCAGTTCCAAGGCATGGACCAAGTTCTTCCTGGAAAGCACCACGATGCTCTGGGCAGCGTTGCACTATCGTCGCCTGCGCTTCCGAGACTGAGTCAGACGACTCATGAGAGCTGAACGGCAAGTAACGTCGTAAAGCAGTTCGCCGCCTAATGTACTCGCCCACAACTTGTGCCTCTTCGCTACTGGAGACGACGGGGACGATTCAGCTTCACTGCCGACATCAACATCACTGAGATTCCAACAAATTGTCATCGTCGCTCTGCAGACCCGCCGCCACGGACTTGCTGGCACCTGACCAAACATGGGCCATGCACAGCGATCGTCTGGCCCTGCGAGCTGCTCTAGTGTCACTAGATACGAACATTGTCGGTCTTTGCTCGCTAGCTACTTGAACTAGACCGCCAAACAAGTGTTTGAACAAAATTTGAGAAGATGATCGCCATAATTATCATGAACGAAGCGCAGAGTGAACGCGCCCGAAAAAAAACATTTCTTTTCATTTCGTCATTTCTCAACTTTTTTTACGAAACCCCAAAGATATGTTTTAGCTGATCGCGGCCCATATGTCTAGAATTATGAATATTGCAGCCTGAGTGCAGCCTGAGTGATAATAATAGTGCTATTTCCTGAGTTTGACTGTTTCAGGATCTGTGGGAATATCACAATGCACAGATCTTCATGCATAGATCTCGCCATGCGGGTCTGTCATGGGCAATGGCTCGCAGGCTCTGCATGCAGAGCGTCTAGGCTACTGACAGTGTTGCCAACCGCCCGTATTTGTCCGTATTTTTACGGAAAAAAGAAGTTTTGTCCGCAGTACGGATTTCAATCGGATATCCCGCAAACGATCATGTATATGATCATTTGCTAAAACCTTCGTAACTCCATCGTTTCTTGTGCCAATTAGGCCTTGACGGATTATGCTAGCATAATTTTTCGCATAATTCCTACCAAAATCGAATAATCGCATAAGTCGAGGCAAATTGCATACGTATCGCATAAAATTGGAATAATCCGCCTGTTCGCATCAGATTCCATACAGTTGCACATGTTCTACAAGACAGTAGATGCACCAGGAAGTCGTAGGTTTACGACTCCCTTGATAACATGTCCAGTCCACTACAATCAGTGACGGTCGTAGCTAGGTCGGACGGTGCATTCACCCCGTTGAACTTCTGCTACTACAGTACAACCATGACAACGCCCTCTACAAAAATATTCCCCTGCTTTTTTGCACAGAACCATCATATACATAATACATTAGCAGCATATGTGAGCATAATGCGGCATAATATGATAATTTTTAGCATAAAAATAGCATAATTCTGCAATTTTTTCAGCAATGCGAAAAGCATAATTTCACGAAAATATTAGCATAATCCGTCAAGGCCTAGTGCCAATTCAACAATCGAATGATCTACGTGGCAGCCAAAACTCCAAGCTGTCCAATGCGACACTCACGGAAGCGTTACGATATCGGATTCCAGAAATATAGACCAAAGTTATGACCTGGTGAAGTTGAAAATTGTACTGAATTCGTAGGCTTCGCAAGTGAACTCTGTGGTTGGAAAAGTTGTACAGTATCGTTTTTTCTTCCAAATTACACTAAATCAGTCAAATTGTTGACCTGAAAAACGAGTACGGAAAACTCTGAAAAATTCTGAAAATGGCACTGGGCAGTACGCATGGGGGTAGAGGGCACTTGGTAACACTGTACTGAGCAATCCAGTATTGGCTTGGCGCAGATCTCCCACGGCACCAAAATAACTACAGCCGCGAACCACGTAGTGGAAAGCTACACAAGATGGGCAACCCATTTTCACATGTACAGACAATTATTATTAAAATTGCAAAAACGTTCCGAACATTCAGGGATAGGGGTGCGCGGATTATGCTCGCACGCAACCGATATTATGCTTTCGGGCATTTCCCGCGGAACTTCAAAAGTATTCTCCCAAAACATCGAAAAAATTCTCCAGAATTCCCCCCAAAAAAAGAACCCCAGCACGAACCGTGCCTTGCGCATGCTCTTTAGTATGCAAAATGGACTGTCAGGCACGTGATCACTGCATGCACCTAGGTCCATTGCAGGATATACGGATCTACAGTACATATTGTACTAGATCAGTCTAGTATACCTGACTGTACACAGCTACTATGTCGTGTCCGGGTTTTGCTGCATGTACATTATACATGTCATGTACATGTACGTGCGTCCATGGATGTGCGCTTGTTCTCTGGCAGGTCAAAATTGACAGAATTCCCCAAAAACTCTTCTGAATGTCAATGGATCTGGCAAAAGTCCTTATTTGCTGACGATACTGCACTGCTCCGGTTCAATGAGTGTCTAGACAGGCTGCAAGACAGTCTCCAGCGCGGTATCAACGAAGTCCATCAGTGGATGACTACCTGGAGACTAAGACCTAATATCGCCAAGACTGAGCCTGATATTATTCCTGCCGAACTCAGAGCCAACCTATGCATTCACTCTTCCCGGATCCCTCACAGACCTCCCAGTGGTAAAACAACAAATACATCTTGGTTTGGTCATTGACTCAAACTTATCGTTTAGTAGACATGTCGACTATATCTGTAGCAAAGTCAGTAAAGCTGTTGGCTACCTCGTGTCTCACTGCTCCCACCTACCGCTTGAATGCATTCGCCTTTTTTACCATTGCTATATTCTCCCCATTTTTCTCTATTGCTCAACCGCCTGGTCATCCCTACTAAGTAAATCGTTAAAGGGGAAGTTAAGGGGGCACATCACCCAAAAATTTCATATGGCATTCAATTGACCGTAACTTTGGTGTTTCTCAGTGGATTTGAGTGAAATTTTGACCATACACTCCTGCCACTATGCTGGCCCTCAGGACATGATTTACAAGTTCTTGCGCCTCACTGACAGGCTTTCCAGGCCGGAAAAACTCAAATTTCCGGCATAGTGCTACGGTGTGCGAGCCACCCAGGAGCCAAACAAATGCATTTACATTTTTTCACATTTTCGGGCCCATTCTGTCCGTGCGCGGGACCCAAACCTAAAACAAGTCCAGAAGCAGCCATGGGTGGTGGGGTAGGGCCCCTCAACGTGGCCCTGGAATCTGTCACAACGGAACGAGTGGGCGTTCTTTCACGGACTCCCACAGACCCAAGTCAATTTTTGAATTTTTTTAGGTTTAGCACGTGCTACGAGGTCGTACCTTTGATACAACATCCAGTGCTGGGACCTCCACAGCAAGCCATTTCCACAGCGCTGCACACCAAATCCAGGATGCCCTCAGAAACCGGCAAAGATTGCCACTCACGTTTCACTACTGCCTAGTACTGAATGAATCCTACCTGACTTCTTGACACGACTCAAACTTGCCAAAGTCACTAAATCAACGTCAACTACAATAATCAAGCCACATATCTGCAACGTCACGAGGGTGCTGGCAAAAGTCCTGCTGCACGGCGGCGGGCTTCGCCCGCCGCCGTGCAGCCCAATACGTGGTTTTTTAACGTGGTTTTTTGGACTTTTTTGGACTTGGGGCAAAATTCTGCACACTTTCGCGTGTTTCCATAATACGACAAGTTGCGCACGGTCTGCTCACATTCAAATACAGTGCTGCCAACAAATGACAGCATGCAACAAAAAATCTTTCCTTGCAAGGGCACATTTTCGGCCATAACTCTTGAACGGCTGGTCAGATAGGGACACAGTTTTCAGAGAATTTGCAGCTATTCATGCTCTTTCAACTGACATAGCACTCAATATGAATTTACAAATTCGATTTTTCAGCGAATTTTTGGGTGATGTGCCCCCTTAAAGGGAAACTGAACGCCAAAAATAAGTATGGCTTATCCGAAGGAGAATTGGGCACTGATTCCGATGAGCTATGTCTCGAGCCGATCAGAGAAGAGGAACCGTGTCAAATTTCATAAATAACACCTTCCATATTTGGAAAATGGGCTTGATGACGTGCGTACTGCTTAGCTGTCACCATGCTGTGCATGCTCAGCAGTGTAATTGAATGGAAGAAAACAATTACTTTGGTGTTTTGCAGCTCTATTTCGTTCCCTGACGGTACCCAAATCTAGATGTAGGAATCTGTTGAGCAGGAGAGTGACACATGTCTTCCCGAAGGCTGTCCAGCCTGCAGTGGTGATGAAGAAGACACGAATAACACCCCAAGATCGATTGTAGCGAATTGAAAAACTCATGGTGAATTTGCTTCCACTCCAAGGCAATGTCGAGGTATGAAGGGTGCTTGTGCTGCCTTCCAAAGTGAAGCGGAGATGAACATGGCTTTGCATAGCTGTTGTTCTACGCCAACTTACCTACTCTTGCTTCTACCGTAGTGGTATATTGCAAATTTCGTGGACGAACAATTTGAGTCACTAGTGGCTAGTGAGCAACACTAACAGGTGAGATTTTTCAATTTGACAAAAATTGTTCTTGTTTGAGAACAGACGGTGGCAGTCATTAGACTCAGTAGGTGTCTCTCTGCGGCTTCTTTCCCTTCATCGATAGGGTTGTGCTTGAAGTCGAAATAAATAGAACATGTGGAACAAAAGTCTGATCATGTAATTCGAATTTCAATTTCAAAGTATGTGTACATCAAATCACAAAAATTTCAATATGGTGCTGTCCACTGAAAAAGACTGGGAGCTGGCAGCAATGGAAAGGGTAGAAACGAAACAAGTAAAGTAGAGTATTCATAAGGTAGAGGGAGTTGAAAACGGGAGACGAGTAGTGAGCATTTCAGTTCGAAGTAGTGTCAATAGACAGCATTGTGTTGCATATGTTGTGAATATTGTGCGAATCTAATAATTGGCAGAGGGTAGTGATTAAGCAGAGTATTGTTACAATACGAGGTACTTTGTGAGCAGATAGCAATCAATATCACGACGTGGTTTAGACAGGAACTCATAAATGTCAAGAAATTGATAATCCAAAATTATAATTATTATCCCCTGAGTAGCATAATTATTATGGTGTTCTCCTGCGTTTACATGCAGAGCCTTGACGTTGCTGGACGAGCGACAATATAAATTACATAAACGTGTAGCTCATAATGTGGGATGACTGCCGTATTGCATTGCCAACGCAAACCCATCCTGTGTCAGTGCAGCCATCCAGCAACGTACTCCCCGGACCAGATGCCGCTGCAGCTGAACACCATGCCGATGGAAAGCCAGGAGTTGATGGCGAAGCATTCTGGTCTGCACAGTACAAGGCAAAGAACAATAATATTATGAATTATAACGCATTGTAATCCTTCCCACACATCTTTGTAAAAACAAACAAACAGTGCCATTATCACAACACTTGATCAAGCATCTTGATGGAGGTATTTTCCATTGTGCTGGCCCAGCATCTGCACCAGGAAGACCATGTACACTTACAAGTATCTTGTGTGTGTGTGTGTGTGTGTGTGTGTGTGTTTGTGTATCCGTCTGTGCACACGTGTGTGTGTGTGGGGGGGGGGGGGGCTGGGGGTAGACGCATATGTGTATGGGTAGGAGTGTGTGTGGGGGGGGTCACACACATGTGTATGGATGTGCGCGTTGCATGCGTGTGTCTGTGGGATGGGGTGGGGGTGCACGCACATGTGTACATGTGTGCGCGCAATATAGAATGTGTGTATTGTGTTCGTTGAACACAGGGAGTCCTCCTGATTCCATAAACTTTGTGATCATTGTGATTTTATGTGCTTTGAAGTTGAAATTCGCAATACATGTACTGATGCTTGATTAGATTTATGTTCCACATGTTCTATTTATTTAGTTTTACTTCAAGCACATGTTCTATTTATTTTATTTTACTTCAAGCACTTGTACTATCAAGCACAACCCTACCAATGAAGGGAAAGAAGCAGCAGAGACACCTACTGAGTCAAATGACTGCCACCGTCAGTTCTCAAACAAAAACAATTTTTATCAAATTGAAAAATCTCACCTGTTAGTGGTGCTCACTAGCCACTAGTGACTCGAATTGTTCGTCCACGAAATTTGCAATATACCACTACGGAACCAGCAAGAGTAGGTAAGTTGGCGTAGAGCAACAGCTATGCAAAGCCATGTTCATCTCCGCTGCACTTTGGAAGGCAGTACAAGCACCCTTCATACCTCGACATTGCCTTGGAGTGGAAGCAAATTCACCATGAGTTTTCCAATTCGCTACAATCGATCTTGGGGTGATATTCGTGTTTTCTTCATCACCACTGCAGGCTGGACAGCCTTCGGGAAGACATGTGTCACTCTCCTGCTCAACAAACTCCTACATCTAGATTTGGGTACCGTCAGGGAACGAAATAGAGCTGCAAAACACCAAAGTAATTGTTTTCTTCCATTCAATTACACTGCCGAGCATGCACAGCATGGTGACAGCTAAGCAGTACGCACGTCATCAAGCCCATTTTCCAAATATGGAAGGTGTTATTTATGAAATTTGACACGGTTCCTCTTCTCTGATCGGCTCGAGACATAGCTCATCGGAATCAGTGCCCAATTCTCCTTCGGATAAGCCATACTTATTTTTGGCGTTCAGTTTCCCTTTAAGGCAAAAATTAAAATTTCACCAGTTGTAGTCTTCCGGGTGCTGAGTCGATTGGTCGTGGTCCGAGGAAGCTGAGACGCTCCCTTCCTACTTGAATCCCAATCGAACTCGCGCACTTCCACCGAAACTGGGTGACTGCGCCCTACTACATGTAGATGGGGATTTGTATGCAAAATGTCACTAAAAGCGCCATTTCGTTCTTATAAAAGCACGGATGACCGCGATTGGTCCATATGTTGTAGTCTTTTGGACGCTGAGTCGACTGGTTTTGGTCCGAAAAGGCTGCGATGCAGCGTTCCTCCTTTATTCCCAATCGAACATGGTTGAAGAAGCGGTCACGTGCTCCTGGGTGCCCAAATCACCTGGTCACCACGCCAGCAGGCGACAACTTTCACACCAAGGTTCAACTCGAGTGACAGGACTGCACCCAAAAAAGGTCAAACAGGCTAGTAAGTTGTACCCTGCAGGCACGGTGACCAGGTGACTGGCGTACGCAGGAGCACGTGACCGCTTGTTCAACCATGTTCGATTGGGAATAAAGGAGGAACGCTGCATCGCAGCCTTTTCGGACCAAAACCAGTCGACTCAGCGTCCAAAAGACTACAACATATGGGTCAATGGCGGTCATCCGTGCTTTTATAAGAACGAAATGGCGCTTTTAGTGACATTTTGCATACAAATCCCCATCTAGTAGGGCGCAGTCACCCAGTTTCGGTGGAAGTGCGCGAGTTCGATTGGGATTCAAGTAGGAAGGGAGCGTCTCAGCTTCCTCGGACCACGACCATTCGACTCAGCACCCGGAAGACTACAACTGGTGAAATTTTACCCTGGAAGTCCACAATAAGAGGATACTCAAAGTCCTTTTCCGAAAACCATCATACTTTCCTTCTGCCGAGCTGTACGATATGTTTAACACCTTCCCTATCTCTAGTCAAGCGGATCGAAAACTGTGTATCGTTGTTCATTCTATTCGTCTTGACAAAGCCCCGCCACACTTGCGTAAAATTAATATGACTGGTTTCTTCCCACTCGTCCTACGCGCAATCGTAGATTCCGCTAGGACCCGCAGGGTCCGACGTGGAATCGGGGTTACACGAGGAGTGAAGGCGAAGAATGTGACAGTGTGTTTGGCCTCAAATCGCTCTAGTTTTCCATAAATTTCCAGCGGTTTAAAGATAAAAATGCAAATGCACGCCTTGATTGCACCTAGCACCTCTTGCTTTCTTTGGCCTTTTCTGAGCGACCAAAATGATAGTGCAATCAAGAGTAGTGACAGTGAGGGGTGGGTGACACCAGCACAATGGGCGGGAACACACTGTCACATTCTTCGCCTTCACTCCTCGTGTAACCCCGATTCCACGTCGGACCCTGCGGGTCCTAGCGGAATCTACGATTACACTTCGGAGCTTCGGCTTCGAATGTGACAGTGTGACTTTTAAAGTGATCCACCACCTCAACCAAGGCAAGGGCGTAGCCAAGCATTATGCGCGAAGGAGAAGCGCGCATGTGGAGTGAAGGAACAGGCATCTCGCAGAGTGCCTGATATACAGTAAAAATGACGCTATGTATCGAGGATACACTATATGTACAGGTGCCCTTCAAGTCGGAGACATGAAGGGAGAAAAGGGTGACAGTCAATTAAAAACGACTAGCACCGGACACAGATAATAATACTGCGACACCATGGCGAGGCTGTGTCAAAATAGGGAATGTCACAGTACTCCTCGAGCCAGGAATGCGGACAAAGAAGTGTGTCCCTTGCAAACCAGGGAACCAGGAAGGTCTTAGATCTGGAACCCTAGACATTTGTCTTGCGGACGGAGGCAAGGGCGAACACAACACGTACCTTCGGGAGTTGATGGCAGTGGAATACGGACAGACTGCGAAGCTCCGAGGTGAACGGGGAGCCTGAGTCAAAACCATCTACATGGGAACGTGCCGCGTCAGACGTTTCCGAGGCAATTGGGATTGGGTCTCCAAGCCTGTAGAACCTCCAGAACATTGATGACACTCCATGTGCTGGCAGGCCAGCAGTAATAGACATCGGGCATCAAATGGGTGGTCGCTACATCAGCCTGGCCAATACTCCAAGAGGCCCTGAACACGTAGCTGAAGTGTCGACGAGAGAGGAGAAAGATGCATAGCTAATTGGTCTATACTGCCTCCCTACATCGCACTGGGTGGCTAAGGAGTTGGTCCGACTGCGATGAACTCCAGACCGGACCCACCAACAGCACTTACTATATGTGGTGAATAGCGCCAACCATCAGGATGAGGCAGAATGGAGGGTGCAGAAGTGCATTCTCCCACTGGTCTGGTCTGCCGGAAGGTCCAAGGAAGCCTGGCCCTCGGCCTCAGGATCTGAGCGCTAACTCACATACTGGTCCAGTTAGCGGGTATGGCTGGCCACAAATCGGGCAAGTGGTCTGTACCAATGATGTAACTGTGTACATGGTGTAAGGACCTACCTGTCCAACAGGCAGTTGCAGCTGTCTGCAAACCGTGACGGTCGTGTGGGTCGTGGACGATGTCCCGAACATTGACGGCGACTAGGTGGAGCCAGCGGGGTCGCGCCAATAGTAATAGTTATGTACTCTTGGTAGCGCTAACAGACACATAGTTATCCAATGTTTCTTTCCTTGGATACGTAAGCAACAGCCATCACATGATCAATCTCGACATGCAAAGGTACTCCCGTTATGCCATGCACTGGGGCTTGCAGACCAAGGCACTCCGCCCACAAGCAGTAGATGAATGGAGTTTAACTCCTGCAGAGTCATGTGGTTATGGGTGGCTGCTGTGCATGGGTCCTGAACTGACGGGCTCTCGTAGCGCAGCGATGGCACCTGTGAGGTGACTAGCTGGCCATCCCCGACTGAAAAGTGACAGACCCAGAAATGGAGACTTGTCAATTGAATCACGAGACCATATATCGAGGTTGCACAGCCAAGGCTGTGGAGCTCTATCCTGCAAGCACTATACTGTAATGAATTGATCAACTGTGAAGCTGGTCTAGCGGGAACGCCTTCCTCAATTCCGGACACTTCACGTTCAGGCGCCTCAAGTGGCTTGGTGATGGTAGAGATGATGAGCCTCATACATTCCAGGGACTGCACCAGCTACAAGCCGGACTTGTGCAGGTTTACTTGGAGCTCGAGATGCTCCAGGAGGCGGATCGTTGCTTGCACTATGGTGTGCCGCAACCAGACCGCACACAATAATGAGGCAGGTGGCAATGCACATCACTACCTTCACCGCCCATGTCCGGAAAATGCAGACGATCGATGCAGACACTTGGTGCATGTGCGGAGTGAATAACACATGCCGAACGGTAGACATGTGTACCGCCAGCCACTTCCGGATGGCCGGATGGATGCCGGTCGAGTGACACATGTCCTGCATGGCCAAATAGCACATTGCCTCCATGAGGCTGGCAACATCGTCAGTGGCCGTACCGGGTCTCCAGCTTGCAGGGACCTGTGGTGATATAATCGTCATATTCGGGTGCTCACCGATGGTAGAGATGACGCAGGATGCGGAGCCAATGGCTGCTTGGATGGTCATTTGAACTGGACATAGTTTATATCCGTAGATCTCAGGTATATGTATGGCTTACTCAGCTATTGC